TCAGATATAGAACGTATCGGTTCATTTTGGATGTCAGGAGAAGAACCACGAAAAGCAGTTGAAGACTAAATGATTGTGTAAATCAGAATCATAACGTGCCAGCATATTTAAAACCTCAATGTAATTTCCTCTATTAACAGATGCCACGCTTTCATCATGTCCCCGAAATGCTAAACCCTGAGAGCCCAGAAAACAAACTGCTGTAATTAATTGGCCTACAAATTTCCTGTTCTGTTTCACAGCTTCATTGTGTTTTTCAATTGACTGTTTGTATTGGCTGCTTAGAGAAAATTCAATCCTTCTGTTTTTACCAAACAGTGTAATTTCTTTAAGACAAGCAATGTGATTAACTGAATGCCCATGTCTTTTGCCAGATTTGTAAATGTTGTTAATGTCATTGTAACCAGCACTGTTAAACACATGTTTTTCTTTAGAAAATAAGAGACAGAATAATTTTTTTAGTTTATCACACCCACACAACCATGGAATAGCCTCATATAAACTGGTATTGAAATGCCGTGTGCAAGATTTCACTTTTGTATGTAAAGTTAGATTAGGCTTAGGTGCACCTTCTTCTATTATCTTAAGTTTCTCATTATAACTGAGTGAACTGAACGGTGTTTGAAGAAGTTTTTCAATCACACAGTGGTTATCACATGAAAGTGTCATGTTTCTATTTTTAACTTAACAGCAATCACAAAAACACTGTTAATAAAGTTATAATTACGCAAAGCAAAACAAATTCTGTATCGAGAAAAATACAGAATAATAACTAAACTGACTTGTGCATAAGTAACACGCTAACACCTTCTTCTGAAAACTAGTAAGCACGCTTTTTTACTAACAGCATTTTCGAAGTCTCAGGACACCAGGAAAAATTGTGTAACTGCAAGGTCACCGACTTCCAACTGCATAATGCAATGCCTTACAGCCGGCAATATTGCTGGAAGCACGAAGCTGGAAGCATTCCTTAACGTTTAGCTAAGCAACAGACTCCTCATATATGGCAACATTGCAGTCCCAGTTGAATCAGAATGAGCGTGGAAGCGAACAACCTGTTGCTTCCTTGCACATTTTATTTTAAAGTTCCCTGCATTTTGGAAGAAAATAACTGATCTCTCCTGATAAATGGTTTATGTAACACATTAAAACTTGCAATATTCTCATTATATGTAATATATGTTCTCAGATTAATTAATATTTTGAAGTATGAAATATTTTTTCAAAATTGAAAAATTGCCAGAAATGTTTTTAGTTGCTTTTCTATAGGGAAGCAATGCTTCCACCACATCCATGTACCCTACGCCCCTGGCTGATATATAGGTCTTGGTGGGGAGTAAGTTATGGAGAGTTAGCAAAAGCACTGGAGAGCTCCACTGCCTGAACTGCAGGGTTAAGGTAAGGTGAGGAGAGATGAAAAGATGACCAAAATGTATGAATAGGTGCAGATTTGGAAGCAGGCAGCTGTTGCTCCTTAGATTCAAAACATCAAGAAAAGAAATTTTTGGGAAATGATAGTTATAATTTGGAAGTGACATAAAAATGTTTGAAATTTCTTACTTCTTGCTTCTTCCACCTCGTGGTACTTTGCTGTTGTACAATGATCAGTAAGCAGTATAACTGTATTGCAGACAAAGCTAATCATCAGCAAAAGCATATATTATTTCCCCTTGGATTTTTTATGTCTTTCAGACTTAGTCACAGATAATAAACAAGTACATTAATTTTCATTCATGATATACCATTTTATAAAATATTTCAATAAAACTTATAAGTGTTATTGAACCCTACATTTTATGCAATGTGGTGCAATGTTTGCAATTGAACATCCAATTTTGAGTTCCTGTAGTTACAGAGCTTGGTTTGTAATCAATTTGAAGTAAGATTTGTATTGGATCAGTGTAAATAAAGATGAATTTGGGGGTTATGCTTAACTACCACACTGTGAAGCCATAGGAACACAAGGGGTGTAGAAGTTAAGCTTCATGCAGTCTAGCCCTTGGCATTAGGTAGAAGTGAGTGGACAGCTTCACAATCTGGTCATCCTACCCAGAGGAAATATCCTCCAGTGTCCATTGGATCAGAGGCTGGGTGAATCATCTGGATAACAGCAGGATTTAAGTTTGTGTAGAAACTTCTGGCATAGATCCTTTGTACTAAATCTAATTGAAAGCCCTTTTTGTGGGTTCAAGTCCCGATAAGGTCACTGGACTTTTTTCATTGGACCTAAACCTTCCAGCCGCACTAGGTGCTGGGGTTTACTCAGCCTCTAACAGAAATGAGTACCAGGAATTAATTAAATAATTTTCCTGGGGAGTAAAGCGCGGTCGGCACGTAAGGCTGACAGCCTTACTGCCATCTTTGAGCCAATTGTCTAGATAGTGTGGGACCCTCAACATCTCACAACCCTATGGGCCTTCATGGCCTGGTATAGGGATAGCTTTACTTTTACGTATTATAGAATGTGGGTTGTCAAAGGGACAGAAATGATGTCTGTAGTGTATATTCAATTTCTCCAAGTATAATTTGAATGATCAAGTCAAGGAGGATGAGGTGGGCAGGTGGGGGAGAAGAGGAATACATAAGGATATTGGTGGGAAAGCCAGAAGGAAAGAGATGACTGGGAAGACCAAGGCATAGATGGGTGGACAATATTAAATTGGATCTTAGAGGGATTGATGGTATGGATTGGATTGATATGGCTCAGGATAGGGACCAGTGGAGGGCTCTTGTGAACACGGTAATGAAACTTCGGGTTCCATAAAATGCTGGGAAATTCTTGAATAACTGCAGATTTGGCTTCTCCTGAAGAAGGGCTCAGCTCCATAAGATTAAGTGTATATTCAATATATGAATTTTGTGTTAAAAGCATACAGTAATGTAATTTTGTTACTCGCATATGCTGTGAGTTTGCTTGAATAAAAGGTGCAGCAGACAAATATATCACTATGAAAACTGAACTCTGAGTAGTTCTTTAATGTTAAAATTTGCAGTACACATACTAATCACTATGCTCTGAAGATTAAATCAATATATTGGTTATGCTAAGAGGTATAACACTTTTATAAACATCTTGTACATAATGAAAATGAGAGTATTTTCATAACAACTTACTGTCACTAGTTGAAACCAATTCTCAGACTTTCTACAAAAACAACACCAATCATTAATAGTTCTGCTTGGGCAATGTTACATTTATCATCATTATGGTTACTGGCTAGATCCACGCAGTAATCTGCATAGACATGCATGAGAGAGAATCATGATCCATTTAATATAAGGAGGTTGATCTTCAGTGAAAGTATAGCTGATGCAGCATATTTATACCTGACTGGTCATCTTAATTGCTTTATTTAAAGGCTCCATTCTGTGGGGAGAAAATCCAGGTTTATATTGAAAATAATTACTATTTAATGCCTTTTGGTATTTGGTGGGGGGGGGGCTTGTAACAAGTGGAAACTTCTTGTGGATAGATTGATAGATCCCTATCAGACAATCTTATATTAATACTTTATTTGAAAGAATCATAAATGTTTACACTACAATGACCAATTTCATTATAATGGTTTGGGTTAGCACCAGTACCAATAAATGAAACCTACCTACAGTGGCTAGCTAGGAGTAATTCATTGGCAGGTATATTTGGTCACTCTTTGTAAAGTTATTCAAAGCAACTTTATGTTAGAAGCAAATGATTGCAATAATATAAGAGAACACTTTTCGGTATTGTTCTCTTATGTATCTATAGTCAGTGTTATAATCACTTTTGTATAAAGTGTAGAGAATGGATGGATTTAATATTTTTTTTCCATTCACTTCAATAATGCCATAAAATGAACTGTGATAGCATTAGCAGCAAACTAAGCCACAGCAGGGTAACAGAGTCCTGTAAACCATCAATATATAAAGTTATAGTGGTAATCACATTGGCCTTTTCTGACCCTTCCATACCAGGGTTTGATCTGTGCCTGGGAAGGTGCAGTTATACAGTGTTAAATTATGATTTGAATATTGCCACCATTACTTTCAGATTTATGCACCAATTAATGGTTCAACATTCTCCTGCCTACCATGAAATTAGGACATATTTAATTATCAAAATTTATAATTACAAATTTTAATTTATACAATATTATTTTAATTATGGCATGAGGGCAGACTGAGACACAACAATAAGTTGCACCATTTATTATAAGAAGTATCAGTGGCCAAATTTCACTGATTAATGACTTTGGATTTCATTTCCCATTCGAAAGGAATCGAAGCCATCTAATTACAGAAGTAATTGCTGTTTACAATTACTCATTCATTCATTTATACAGCATTCCATAAATCCTAACATGGTTAGACACCAATGGATATAGAAATAGTCAACATGAGTAAACATGATCACATACTGCATCACAATTGTGTAATGTCATACCAGTTAAAAACATTAACAATATACAACATGAACAAAAACAATCATCTATAACAATAAAACGCTATCAACTACCACCCTTAACAAATCTGAATCTTTAACAGTTGTCACAGTTAAAATATTCGTCCAATGAATAAAATTAATTTAAAAATAGGTATCTTTTTAACAGTAGACCTAAATTGTTTAATCTCATGAGCTTGGTCTTTTATATTGGGTGGAAGTTTATTTGGAAATTTAATTCCAAAATAATATGTTCCATTTTGAAAGACAGTTAAGTTACGCGAGGGATAATGGAGGTTATTACTATGTCTTGTGTTGATTGTATGAATTTCAGAATTAGATGAAAATTGATACTGGTTTACAGGCACAAGGGATGTATGTGATTCGTCCATTAATGTAACCTTACTTTTACATTTATTCGGAATTCGTTAGGCTACTTTAATCCGTAACAACACTTCTTTTTTTTTATTGCTACGAAGTCGTAACAATCCCAAATTACTTTCTCCATGTACGTCGTCGGAGACCAGCACACTCTGGTGATATCACGATGAACTAGCATGCGTCTTCAGTTTGTTTCTGTCATCCGAGAGAGGTGCGAGCTTGGTTGTTGTTCGTGCTGGTGAATGGTTGAAGATTGAGAAGTGTCAAAACATTCTTTGCAACAATGAGGCGTAACGTGAAACTGTTGTTGTTATTTTCAATGGCATGGATGTTTGTCATCGTGTATTACCTTCAGGTCTCTAGAGAAGGCAAGGTACAGTTTCATTTTTAACTTCTTTATAATCAGCCGGTCGTCATAATTCGAATGTTAATAATAACTGTTGTGTCACAGAAGCAGGAATGAATAGCCGTTTATGTTAGTTTCGCATATAAATACTGTCATCCATAAGCCTAAGCTGCTTTGTTCATACCAAATTTTATTGATAGGGTTCGACAGTACTCGCTGTCTCACATGCCTCGGTTGCAATTTGTCATTCCGTCAAGTAAGTTGTTGATAACATCACAATACCCCGTGGTTATACCGAGTATGAAAATATTTTACGTTTTCATTGGCCGTTTAGGTGCATAGCGTTTGACAGTATTTATACTTAGCAGTCTGTACTTTGTGATCTTCATGTTATTCGGGGGCATTGGTAATAATTAAGAAGCTTGAATGAGGTCTGACGGTTATTATTGATATTACGACGATGTAACCGAAGGCTGCGTTTGCTACTTCTTAATGTGTACAAAGGTTCCCTAGCACCACCACTGGTGTTGTATTTATATTTATTCTCACGGGTTACGATGGTGTATTAACCGAGACAACGAAGTGCGCATAGATCTTGGATTACCATCCCGCGTCCGTCACAGCAACAGCAACAGCCTTCCTTCTGTCCTGCCCGCGAGAAGGGACGTAGTGACAGCTGGTTTCCGATTTAAAGTAAGCCGAAAAGTATCCTACTAATGATAGTTTTCTTGCATAGAAGGTGAACATATACAGTGTTTATATGTGAGTAGACTGTTAAAGCGCCTTGGTGCCTACTTTCCTTCAAATGTTTAAAACCTAAATACCAGACTTTATGGAAATTAGTATTTCAGCCCATCAAAAAATCCAAATATTTTATAAATGTGGCAGCAGAGTTCGGTACCTTCAACACGTTTGTGCTCTTCGACACATTTCATTCGAAATTTGTGGAGAAGTTTATACGTAATTTATAACAACGCCTAATTTCACATATGTAGCGACAGCAGCAACTTGGATACAGTAATGGAATAGTAAAATTTGCAAATATACCGTAATGAGCATTTTATTTTCCACTTGAAAAAATTGAAGTTGAATCACACTTAAATCCGAGCATATGTTTAAAGGTAAAGTTGATCCAGGCGTCACTTTAAGAAGGCATCGGGAGAGTGGATGTGAAGTTGCCCGGTTTCGCAACCTCGGCATTGGAAAGAGGATTTGGTCTCCTTCACGCAACGGCCGCTTTGCTATTCGGGTGGAAGACTGGAACAGGATCTGGTCCTGATGTGATAGGAAAGAGACGTCCATTCCGCTTCCAGAAATCAAAGCATGGTCTTCCGGCTTATAATCGGTCACCATTTATTGAGACATGGTAATAAATTTGAAACCATGGAATTGCGACTGCCTTCATACCGACCTCAAAACTAGATAGACTGATAATTATTATTTCATATTTCAGATGTCAAATTCCCAATCCCTCTCTTTAAGCTTCCACTTATGAAACCAGAAGAATATCTGTAAAAAAATAAAGGTATCCCTGTAATAGGCCGTGGAGGCCCATAGGGTTGTGAGATGTTGAGGTTCCAACATTTTCTAGACAGTCGGCTCATAGATGGCCGTAAGGTCGTCAGCCTTAAGCGCCGGCCGCCCATTACCTCCAAGAACATTCCAAGAATATTCCTGGTACTTATTTCTGTTAGAGGCTGAATCGAACCCAGGGCCATAGTGCGGCTGGAAGGATTAGGTAAATTGAAAAAAAAAATCCAACGACCTCATCGGGATTCGATCCCGCGACCTTCCGGCTTATAGCATAGTGCCACAACCAACTACGCTACCGTGTGCCCCAGAAGAATGCCTGTGAAAACAAAATAATCCTGCCCAATACATAATGAATTACTTGTCCATTTTAGTGCGTCTAGATTCGAACAGTTCCTTCACATCCTCTCCATCCCTCTGGGCTGAATTCTGGACTGAAAGACCAAGTAGTCTTCTTTTGTCTTGACGCATTAGGCCCTCTGGCCTGTTCCCTTTCAGAATTACTTCTGAAATTACTAGCCTTATATAGACAGTTGGTAGGACTCCTTTGACGGGAGATAAGCCCGTCGCAAGGCCAATACCTACGCAGGACAACACGAACACATAATAAACGCATACATCCATGCCTCGAGTGGGATTAAAACCCACTATCCCAGTGTTTCAGCGGGCGAAGACGTTTCGTGTTTTAGACCACCCGGCCACTGTAAACTCCAAGTTGTAAACTTCATAAATCATATTTAATTCTTTGTATGTATTTTTGATGTCCTTTTGGAGGCATTTTGTCTGACATTACCTGTTTATTTCTAACTCATAACGAGCTGGGACAACTCAGTCAGTATAGTGACCGGCTGTGGGATGAATAATTAAGGTTCGATTTCTGGTAGGATAGGAATTTTTTCCATCGTCGTCGCGTTTAAACCGGTTCGGGGTTCATACAGCTTTCTATCCAATGGATGCTTAGGGTGAAGCAGTAGGGGCGTGAAGCTGACCATTCATCTACATCCGTCTTTATGGCGTGGTGCTTAATTAAGCTCACAAACATCTTTACTTTTTACCTTCCGAATTCGTAAGCAAGAGATTCGGAGTGCTGCAGGCTCATGCCCAAGAAACCAATGAATTCCCCCATTCGGTGCAATTCAGTTTTATTTAATACTTTTAAACGTTTTCACATAAAATTTTGTTCAGTGTTTCTTCTGCCAATTGTGCTGATTGCTATTGACAGTTCATAGACAATTATATGTGTATAGATTTTCCACAGCAAATTCACTACAACTCATACTCGCATTTGGGAGAGTCTGGATTTACAATTTCGTGTTCACGCATTCAGAAACAGACATAAATGAAATAACACACGCAATTCTGAATTCCTCCATCAGTTTAAAATTGACGGTTTACAATTTATCACGTGTATGTTTAACTTCAGTGGCGTGTCTTATGTTGAAAGACAAGTTGTTTATGTTCAAAATCTCCTTGAGGAGGGCGCATAATTCCACCGCAGTGATTCCCCAAAAATTGCGCCTAAACCCTTTAGGGGTGAACAGTTTTATTTAGGAGAGTCGTCTAAAATACATTATGGCTGTTTCTTTTTGTACCAGTAATATTTTAAGGACCATCAAAAAAATATACGGCTACTGCCGGTGTAGTTATTATCGAATAATTCAAGGATTTAGCCAACTTTTCTTATGTGCCAAGAGTGATAAGCTTATAGTATCTCGTCCCCTTACTCGTAAGTATGTCTGCTCTTCTCCGTCCCCATAGTAACGCGTAAGCAATAGTAATGAATGGTCATTAAGCTGGCTGTGAACTTGGTGCTACCCCCACCCTTGTACTTTTTACTTCTGTGATGTCGATAAGACCACCGTGGTGATTGAACGAACTTCTGAGGCGGAAGACATTTGAAGCAAGACAGTCAATATACAGTACCTATTAAACGTTTGTTCAGTATGTGCCCTACAATAACAGCATGGCCGGCGCGCGAAATCTATATAAAATTTTCTACATGACAGGGATATGTAAATGAGGATGTCGCCTGGATTCATCTAAGGACACTGTCCAGTTGCGGACCTTTGTGAGTACGGTAATAAACCTGTGAGTTCTGTAACAAGCACGGAATTTCTTGCTTCCGTATTCCGTATTGAGGGGGTGGGTTTCCTCATGCACTTAGACCGGTTAGTGGTCCATTGTGCGTCCCCCTTTAATTTCTACTGTCTCCATACCCTACCGGCACTGGTGCTTACTATCAGCCCCTTTCTGCCAGCGAGGTTCCAACCTCCTCTAGCAGTGGTATCTAATAGTTAGTCCCTTTCTGTCAGGGAGGTCCCCCCTCCTCTGGCAGTGGTACCTAATACTTCCCCCATCTACCGGAGGAACTGGAAACTATTTGGGCGGGAAATTTGACTAATTTTGCTCAGAGGTCTCCTAGAGACATGAGGTTCTTTTACATGCCGTAAATCTACGACACGGGACCCACGGCTTAAAGTCCCTCCCGGAGGACTTGTTCCCTTAATTTTTCCGCCCTTAAAAATTCCACGATCTCCGCCGGGTTTGAACCCGCGTACCTTGAGTCATGAGGTGGGAACGTTACCCCTAGACTACGGAGGCCGCTGCTTACCTGAGCGACTGCCATTTAATAAGAAGAATTTTGATCTGTGGAGTCAGTTTCCTTTTTTAGGGCAAAGTGGCTAACAGCAGATGGATGAGTCTCTTGAACAGATCTGGTTGTGATGTCATTACAGTTTTATTTGTTATGGTTATTAGGATCTTTTTTCTTTCAGAAAGTTCTTGCCATCATTCCCGCAGACCTGGGAGTCACTGGGGCTCTTATCCTCTGTTTTATCTTCACGCGGGACATAACCTGGCAGAAACCTCAAATTCAGAGGGTGAAATTGGATAATACTATAAGCATTAATGAAAATGGATATAAACATGGATGCATTAACTTCGCCGACAAGCGGCGGTCGCTCGGTCGGTATAGTTCGCTTGCGGACGAAAACGACGGAGTTTTTTTGTTTGTTTTGTCGTATGCGGGAGTTGAAGCCACTATTATCTCGTGATCGCCTTAAACCGCTCGGCTGCTGGAATGGGTAATTAGTGTTCTGCCTTGACTGGAACAGGACAGATGTCCTCACTCCTTCTTTGCCTGCTCGATATTTAGGCGTGTTTAATCAACTACATGGAGCAAAGTCCCTCTTGAAAAGCTAATAGTGGCTGAACCAAGAAATTAATCTCTTTTTTTGTAACCCGAAGGCTTTTTCCTTATTCACAAGAATCCGTCATTGGCCCTTACCCTAAGCCAGACGAATTGAGTCCAATCTCTTACACCTTATTTATTCAAGATTTATTTTAATATTATCTTCCTATCTACACCCAGGACATTCAAATAGGTGTTTCATTTCATGTTTTCTAGGCGCGTCTAGTTTTTTAACTGTGCTGGATCACTTGGTATCACAACAGCACACCTACCGCGGGTGGGTAAAGCTTAACCGCCTGTTCTTTTT